ATATGTAACTTTAAAAGAAGAATTATAAAAATTGAAAACAATTGGTCGAACACTTTCTGAGCTTTAAAATTTCTAAAAAATCTTATATTTAAATTTTCTTCTTTTAGTAGGTATTCGGTTGATTTCATTTAAATTTTGTCATTTAAAATTACGTACTTTGGAATGGTGAGTAAATTTCCGTACCTTAAAATTCAAAACGTTTTTTGACTATTATTTAATAAAAAGCAAAAAAAAAATTTTTTGGATGAAATTATTTTTAGACAAGCGTGTTTTATAATTGCGTGCAAGCAACTTTTCGGTTCACTTAAAAAGTTTCTGGGATATTTCGAGATATGCAATAAGTGAATTTAACATTAAGTAATGCTCTCAAGTTTTTGAATTTTCAAGTTTTCAAATTTGAGGGGGGAAAGGATGCTTTTTCGTGGAAAGTATCTGTTTGCTACATAAATAACTAACACTAATTAATCAGCCTCTGTGATGCTTTTTTAAACTTTTAAGATTGGCACTAAGTACGTGAAAATCCACTCACATAAGTAAATGCTATTCAATGTGATATTTTTATTCATTTATTTTTTATTATTATTGGCTCAATGTACTTAATTGCCTTTTTTTGAGCAGAGAGTACCAAGATATCAAGACAAAAAAAAAGGTAAATATATAAATAAAAAGCATTTTGGAAGAAAAAGCCCGGAAAATAAGTACAAAAAAAGCGAAAAAAAGGAACCCAATTGGTTATTATAGGAATTTAACAGTTGATTCAATTCGGGCCGTAGTGCCAGAATTTAATGCAATTAAATACCTATTCGAATCAAATTAGATGACGGCGTGAATCCAACCGGGCGATTAAATTTATATAATAGATTAGGAGGGGCTTTTTTTCGGGCTTTTTCTTCCAGAACTTTTATCCTCATGCTTTTTTTCTGTGATTCCACCATAAAGATCTTTACTTGGTTCATAAGACGATCAGGTGACATAGACTAATTTTTTTTTATCGAAATTTTATTAGTTGCATACGAAAATAATAAAGAGAAAGCTGGAATCGTTAAAACGATTCCAGCTTTCTCTTTATTATTTTCGTATAAAAACGTGTATAACGTTTAAAAACATTAGGGGAGAGTGGGGTCAATTGTAACATGGTACGATTGTAACAGAGCAAAAATTACGAGTGTCGGGTTCTAGATTTGGTTCCTAGGTGGCGCACAAGGTGCATTTAACAAATCTACATGTACACCCCTGATGGCAACCATTTTTATGTACTTTTGAAAGAGTTACATCGCAAAAGATATTTTCACGCCACGCAAGTACTTTTTTTGGTATTAGAATACTATATTATAACAAAGTAATTTTGGTTAAACAAATAAAAATTAGTAACCGAATATGTAAGTGGACACCTTAATTAACATTTCAATAAAAAAAAGATTAGTTTTGCTAATTAATTAGCATTGTTTTTAACAAATGAAGCTGAAATGGCGTCTTGGGGACAATTGTAACAATAAGTAAAGGGACGATTGTAACAGTTGAAAATAAATAATCTTATGTTTACAAACCATTACTTAACTCTTTAAGAACCACCAATAGTTTCCTATAGCATTTATATTATGTTGCATGTGCATTATTTTATTTGTCACCTTTCACAGCATAAATTAAAACTTTTAACCCCTTAAAGTTAAAAGTTTAACCCTTTAGGTCTGTTCATTATTATTTTTACTCCTAAAATATCACTACTATTTTGATCAATAAAAAAATATATCACAACTATGATAATATGTATAATTAACTATGTTTTAGTTGAATTTATGAACTGTTACAATTGACCCCGTTAGTGGGGACAATTGTAACAAGTGCACGACTGTCAAAAATTGTTAATAACTAATATAATAATATTTAAAATCAGATATTTATTTTTCTTCTAGTAGAGGATAGTCTACTTTACACGTCTGTCTATAAATACTAATAATATATTGGATTTTTTGTTAGTTAAAAATAGTTAAGTAAAAAATGTTACAATTGACCCCACTCTCCCCTATACATTCCTCCTCGGAAAGATTAAATCGTTATCACTCGTAAACTAACTTGTGTAGATCTTTTCTGATTGCTCTGTGATCCAAGTACATTTAACTTGTATTTAATTAATAAATGGCAATTAAATAATTATAAAAAAAATTAAATAGTTCAATTATCAAATAATAAAATTTATTAATGTAAAGTAATTTAAATTTTTAAATTTTATTTCGATTATAAAAAGTTAGCAAAGAAGGACTTTTGGCAACCAAAATATCAAAAACGAAGTAATGGGTTTATATATGCATTACATGAATATGTTACTAATGTTTAGAATATCGGTAGTTTAGAACTGAGGATAATTTTTCCAAGTAAAAGAGCATTAGAATTTTAGATTTTAAAAAAAAAAAACTTAAGTTCAATTTTAGGAAAATTTAGGTACGCATGGAGTGCTTAAGAAACATAGTATTAAGCTACATTTTTTGAAAGCTAACATTTTTCCAGTAGTCTGTTTCTAAGTATTGTTTTCTAATAGGTATTATTAGGTTTCCCGAATTTTATTAAGTAGTACCACAATCACAGAAATATATTACTCTTTTTACGACTTACGCCCTCGTGAAAAATGTGCCATAACTTCTAATACTCGCACTAAAAATTCAATTTAATTTTAAATCTCCAGAATGGGAAATCACCGCAAACAAAAAGAAAAAGAAATAAATGAAATTCAAAATTTATTTCAGAAATTTGTAGAGAGTCCCTTTCGTAACGAACGGTCTTATTACTTAATGCAAGCCGCTCAGCGTGCGCTAATCTCGCATTGAGGCCCTAATCGAGACCCGCAATCTCTCGTCACTCGTCGGCGAGCTGATAAATAAATAAGCCGCCTTTTCGGCAAGCCGATTAATTTGTAATTACGCGGCTGCAGTCGCCACCCTAGCTTCCGATCATCGCCCATTCATGTAAAAAACGAGAAGAGAGAAGGGGGGGGGGTCTGATGGATTCCTTCATCCCCCTTTTTATAATTTCTTTCTTTTTTTCCCCTCCAGAAAAAAAAAAGTTTTATAGCAACCTAGAAATAAGATAAGGAAGAGGGGGGATCAGAGCCTAATTACATGTCAGTGAATAATGAGCTGTGTTGTCTCTTTATCGGCGAAAAAGATTCGAATAGGTCGTATAACAAACACATTAGAACAGAACCAATATTTAAATATTTCGATTTTCCTTTATCCCCACTCAACAAAAATTATTACCATGGAAAGTTCTGTCTTGAATATAATTAATTTTAATTTGTTTTTTACAATTGAAGCTAATATGATTATAGATATATGTGCCGAAACGAAATCACCACTCAAAGAAAAAAAAAGAAAAGAAAGAAAGGAATAAAATTACCTCATGCAAAATATTATTTGAGAAAAATTGGGACACTATTTAAAAAAATTCTCATCAAAAAATTTAGGAAATTTAAACATTGAGAAATGATTATCGTAGAATCTTTGAAAAAAAGTAACTTTGGAGTAAACACGAATAATATACCGATCTTTTAGAAATTTTCTATACATTTTCTTAATGGTATTTATCTTCGGCAAAATGTAGAGACCATATTTGATAATAAGTGGCACTAAAAAAAGGAGAGAAAAAAAATCGTTTGAAATTCGGTCAATTTTATCTAAGGAAAGTGGGAGAAATTCCATAAGATTCGTGCATTATAATTTTTATAAATCAAGCCCACGGCTTCAAAAATAAAGAATTGAGAACCCATTTCATAAAAAAAAATCCGTGTAAAATCGATGAAACCTATTAATAAAATGTAAGCAACAATATCTAGCTTCATTTTGAATAGAAAGTTGTAAAATTTTAAATATTTCATTAATTTTACAGCAATAGTTAAATAATTGTTGTAGAGTGGGCCCAAAAAGGGAACATCCTGAGTAACTTTTGATCTAATGAACGAATTTTCACGTACTAGACTTAATCTTAATAGTTCGAGGGTATAACCTTAAATTTGCTAATTGGTACAGGCGATATTTTAGGATATTAAATCATACACATAGTACTTTCTCTGTATAAACATACCTTTTTACGACGGAGTCGAATTTTTGATCTTCAAAATATGGAGGGTAGCTGCGAACTTTAAAATATGGTCTTAATAGTTTGGTCACGAGAATGGTCGAAGGTGTAGATTCCTTAATGATAATCTAACTTTTTGCATATTTAGCCATACCTTTGGAAATATTTAAGGAAATCAAGTAATTTTACGGGTAATTATAAATGTCGTAAATACTAATATAATTATAGAATAAAGTTTCATAATTATTTATTATATTTTTCCATTTATGTTCTATTATTTATTTTAATAATGGTAAAAAAAAAATTTGAATTAGATGAAAATTCTTTCTTTATTTTAAAGTACGTAGTTAACTATAAGAACCTAATATCGATACAATATCGGTTGAAAATACAATCGATACAAGATATAATATCAACCGAATAGTTTTCGTGAAATAAAATTCCATAAAGGCACTTTGATTTGACTTAAACTTAAATAACTTTAGGAATGATAGTTTTAAAATAAATCACCCATTTAAAATAAGTCAGCCGAAAATTGCTGAAAAGACAATGACTTTGACTGAGAAGAAAAAGACTTTGACCACCCAAAAGAATAATGCAACAGAAATTTGTTAAAATAAATCTCCCATTAAGATAATAGTACAGAAATATTTTTAAATAAATCTCCCATTAGAATAATGCAACAAAAATATGTTTAAAAAAATGACCCATTAGGAGTAAACCAGAAATAAGTTAAAATAAATCACCCATTAGGAGTAAACCAGAAATAAGTTAAAATAAATCACCCATTAGGATAATACAACAGAAATATTAAAGTAAGATTGCACATTAGGAGTTAAACTATACATATGCTAAATTAAAATACCGATTCGAGGTGATACAGCAGAAATATGTTAAAATAGATTACCCAAGGACATGCTAAACTAACTTACCCTGCCGGGGATCCGTCATTACAGGTAACTGTTTTATTGGAGAGCATAACCTTCCTCATGGCCGGTGCTTTGCTGGTACGGCACTCGTGCAGTTCATGCACCAATTGCCGGATAAGATCTAGACCTGGATTACTGATCCTCGATAGACTCTGGGAGTTGAGGAGCACCTTCAGTTCCGGGAGGCGACTGCCGGATGTCTGTGAGCTCTGGGTGGAAGAAGTACGGGCGAAGAAGGAGAATAAGACCAGAGGAAAATACCAGGGCATGACATACATCACTGAAAGACTATGGTTTATGAATTACTCAATTTGAACATGGCAACAGGATTTCTTTTTTTCAATGATATAAGGTATAACATTTATTATAAGGCACGTTTTCATAAAAATGTTACTAGCAATCTTTCGAAAAACAATTTAATTCCTGGAGGTGACAGTTATTTTACGTGACAATTATTTTAAATCAGTAGAATCGGGAATTGGGTACTTTCAACTCGAAAAGAAGTGAAGTGGTTAGGCATAATCACGTGATTTAAATCTGATTTAATTAGAAGCCAGAAAGTGAGGTCACGCGTGTTATTCAAACCTCATTGTCTTGTGAATCGACAAATGCCACGATTTGCCTACGATGACGTCACTTGCAAGTATCCAATTGTGTCGATAATGAAAATAACATGCAATTTCCAATGTTATGAGACTAATATATTATATGAGGCTAATACGAAAAATATAACAGCTATGAATAATAAACATGTTAAAGCATTGTTAATAGTAATTCTTTCTGAAATAAGGAGTATTTTGTGCCGCAGTATTTCAAATCTGCAGGCAGAACCATGCTGCTTGCTATGAAATAAAAATAGTCGTGCTTGCTATAAAAATAATGCGTTACTTCCATAAATCTGTTTTAGTACACCAGGTGAAAGTACGGTGATAAATTTTTGAAATAGATTTAATCATTATTATTTTAATTATAAGTGTTTTTCATTTATTATTTGATCAAATTTGCACAACTTAAAAGTAGAAGTAAGTGGAATTTAAGTAAGAATAATTTTGGATTCAAGGAAATAACTTGAATAACAATCCATGAACAGTTAAGTTCTGTTTGGTACTTGTGCCAAGTAGATATTATAGTATGACAAGTAGAGATTATAAAGGCAAGTTCGCTAGCATACAAATGATATAAGCATAGTTTACTTAGTTAATATTATAAGTAAGGTTTATTAAATAATTAGAAAGATACCGATTTAAGTAAAGTTCATTTATTCCATTAAAATTTTATAATGAATTAGATAGTACATCTTATACATTCAGTCTGAAAAACCGTCTACTCTGAAAAACCGTCGCCAACACATAGTCCATGTAAGCGATAAGTACATAGTTATTCCATGGTTTCGATTATTTTAAATGTTTTTGGTGGTTTTCATTTCTTGTTTTCTCTGCAAGACCTTAGAAATATGAAGACCACTGAATTTGGTTGGTTGTTTGGGTTTTTGGCTCAAGAGCCAGTCTTGGCTATATCGCGCCTCCAACTACGTAGATAGCCACTGAATTTAAGAGCTGTACTTAAATTCAGTTGCTACCACTGAATTCAAGAGCTGTACTTAGGTCATAGATTATAACAAATAGAAAAAAAAAGTTTTGATTTTTCAATAATAAAAATAAGAACCGTGGTGGCTTAGGAGATAGAGCACTCGCTTCCGAATGAGGTGACCCTGGTTCGAATCCCTGGTCGATACGAATTCCCCACCGGATTCACACCCACCACAATCCTAACGTAAAAAATCCTCAGAGGTAGGTGGATTATGAGTTTAAGTTCCCCTGTCGTCAAGCTAATCGTGAGGAGTTTTCGTGGTTTTCCTCTCTATGTAAAGCGACTGCGCAAATTTCTCCCTATACTTGATTCAGGAGTTCCCCTTGTCTTTTGGATTAGGATCAAAATAAGGCTACGGAGTTGAACAGTGGTAGCTGTAAACTCAAAATTTGGTCGGCTGTTCAACGACGGTTATAAAATAATAAAAATAAGAGCTACGGTGGCTTAGAGGATAGAGCGTTCCACTGAGGTAACAGAGGTTCGAATCCCAACGGTGGTTGGCTGATATGAATTCAGATCCCAGCTTGCACCGATCACAGTGTTGACATAAAATATTCTCAGTAGTAGTCGTATCATGGGTGAGAATCTCCTTGCATTCGGGTTAACCGTGGAAGGTTTCGTGGTTTTTATTTCCGTGTAATGCAAATACGGTTTAGTCAAAGCAAAAAGAAAGTCCTCCACTAAAACTATTTTATCTCATTGCTTGATCGAGGAGTTCCCATGTCTTCTGGGTTAAGTACAAAATTACAAGGCTATGGGGTTGAAACATTGGTAGCCATTAAACTCGTAATTGGGTCAGCTGCTCAAAGCCGGTTATAAAAAATAAAATCTAACATTAAAAAAAAATATATATATATATATATATAAAGAATAATAATAACATGCTGAACAGCCTGCTTGTGAAAGCAGGTGTTGAGACTGTACATAAAACGTTGTTTTTAGTACATGACCAGATCATATTATAAAAACTCTGAAGTTACAAAGTTGAAGTTGAATATATCTCTTGAACTGTAATGATACTTTTAAAATCAAAGGGGAAAAAATGCGTAAAAAAATATTTTGTATAGAAACAATGGCAAAGAAAAATAAATTAAGAGTCGGTAATAAAATTAAGCATTCGTTCGAAACCCGTCCAATAAGTGCTGAACTAGGAAGCAAAATAAAACAAGTAAGCACTTTTTTTTTTCTTTCGCCTTTCTCTCTCTCTTAGCTAGAAAAGCATACAACAGCAAATACTTCAAATTCACAGCGTAGAGAGAAAAACAAAATAAATGTTTCTTAAATGTTAAGTGAAGTAAAAACAATTTAGAATCTAACGCTGTTTTAAGCTGTTTTCAAGTTCTATTGAGGCGTTGCTGTGCTGGTAAAATAAGCAAAACTGGTAGTTCTTTAATTTGCAGCGCGGTTATTTATTTATTTATCGATCAACGCGAGTAATAAATAAATAAACAAACCTGTTCATTAAAAAGTTCAATCGAAAAATATTCTTAAAATATGAAACCAAGCACATTTAATTTTATATATTAAAAACATGAAACATTACAGAATCTGGAATCCATACTAATAAAGTAGCAGTTCGTTATAACGACTATCCACAATAGCAGATGGAATTATCGTTATAGCGAGCTTGAAGCTATGAGCAATTACATATAGGTATTTAACATTAAAATAGCAATAAAAAAATTAGTGTAATAGTGTACAAAAGTTTTTAACGTCGTTGATAAAAATGAATGTTGATTTCAGTTAATTATTGTTGATTCAGTTGATTACAAAGTTATACTCTGTTGTAAGTTAAGAAAAAAATAATTATTCCTATGGAGAGGGCCTTTTTGCATCAAGTGCACTCTAAATAGATGCTTCCAGCGCGAAAGAATATCAACTTCGCCAACTCTTGAAACGATATTGCAGCCTACCTTCTTTTTGTTATATCTTAAATCGTGTGAAATGTGTAAGACAAAATTTATAGTACAATCGATTAACAAATAATAAGAGTTAATAAAAATGATATCTAAAAATCGTGACAAATATACGCCGTTCTGTTCACATTCAAAGAAACTCAGAATAATAAATATTGTTTCTTGTTGACGATTTTCTTCTACGGCGAAATAAAAGTAAAAATTCTTTATCTCGCATTTGATTTGTTAAGGGCATGACAGCATAAGACGTGCCATTTTTAGTGGTCCAATGAAATCCAATGCTCTTGCAACTTCATATAGTTTTTGTTTTTCAAGAACGAATGTTCTCCTTATTTATCGAAATCTGTCGTCAAATCTAGGATTCCAGTAAGACTACGAAATTTTAATCCTTTTTTTTAATAATTCTACGATATGTATCTTAAAAGATAACACGAATTAAATTTCTGCCCAACGAGTTTAACCTTTAAGCTTAAAAGCTGTTATATTGTTTTGAAAGCATATATGGCTATGTTTCGAAATAAAACAGAACTGTCGCAGATTACTAAAATCCTATCCCACAATGGTCTTTTCTTAAACTGCACGGTAGATATTTAACTAACAAATAGGAGATTCCTACCAGGAATCCTGAAAAATTCAAAAGATCTTTTTTATTTCCTGAGGAGGAAGATAAATTGTCTAGAGCTTACCAACATATTAACAAAAAGAATTAAGATTGGAAGAAGAAAATGATAAGATGAAATGATGTTCACTTTTCGCTTTGTTGTATTAATGGGCATAAATAATAATGTCGTTCAATTTGTCCTTCTTTGCTTGCTTTGGCTAATTTAAACAGCAGAAAAATATATAGCAGAAGGCTAGTAGTTTTTAATTCATTATAAATATAAAATTTTCGTTACTTCAAATGCTCGTAATGGCAGACTTCTCGTAATATGCCGTAGTCGTTATATCGAGATTTTACAGTTTGTGAAAAAGACACAAATTAGTCATAAATTACAAAACACACAGTCGAATAATTTAACCCATAAACACTGTGCGGTCCTATGTCTACTCTCACAGCCACCAAATTTTTTCTCTGTTTCAGTCGTTAATATGCGTTCAGCACCACAGCAATAAACTATATCGATCTTTTAGTATTAACAATACTATAGTAGTGAACAATACTGTTGATAGGTTTTTAACCCTTTGATACAGAATTTTCATTAATTATTTTTTCATACTTTGTTCATTATTTTGTTAAGTTCAGTCAAAATAAATGAAAAATGTTATATTTAGCACTTTAATAATTTTTGGTTATGAAATAAAGCATCGGATGCTTGTGTCCCCTTTTGATAACATTTTTCACACATGGCCTAAATAAAAACAATAATTTTTCTAATTTGCACTTATTTGCAGTTATTTATATCTAAGAGAAATAGTAAGTCATCATTGAAATTTCTTACAATCACAAAATGAATTTTTGATAAATTTTTGAATATGAATAAAGAAAAACTACTTCTACGTTTTACTTTTTTTTTTTTTTTTTTGGATTTTAAATACTTTTTTAAGTTTTGTATTTTAAAACCAATGTAATCCCGAGAATCTAATAGATTCGATTAGTAACTATTAGACTGTTTTTATAGTTAAAATATACCAAAATATATTTTTATTTTTAATTAAAGAATCATAAAAAATGTATAAAAGGGACACCGATGTCCCATCTGCGCCAAAGGGATAAATGTATATAAAATTTAAAATATTATTGTACAAATTGTGTAATTCAAGTACAGTAATTTTT